ATTCCATGATGAAAGTGTTAGTGATTCAACGATTGATCGATAGTTTGATCGATATAGCCAATTTTTGATCAACGAATACCGGATGAACTGAAGATATTGTTGTGATTGAAACTAAAGTCGTGTAATCTTGACATTTTGTGTAATGCTCTTATTCTTATGGCTATGACAAGACTGCAAAAGGGTGCTGATAAGAAGCAAATTCTATTGTGCTGATAAGTCTAAAGCAAATGATGGATGAAGAAGGTATTTTTAATGTTTGAGTTCACGTACACGGCTCAGTATCTCTTCAATCAACTTATCGGCACAATAGAATCATTATCGGAAAAATCGTAACTGATCATTTTTTTGATCGTTAGAGATCAAATCAATTTCATGTATTTGTTTTATATTAATCCTGAACTGTAAGTTAAACGTACTCACTAACAACGCCCGTGTGAGGAAGTGAACGACTATGTACGTATAAGTAAATGTACATGATAATCCTGAATTCAAATCATTCCAACGTATTCTATGCATAATCTAAGGTTTCTTCCAGTTGCGTATCCTTTGGAGACTGTTCGTTTCGAATGGTTTTCGCGCAAAAACGACGCCATCGATAAAAATCCCGACGTGAAATTACCTGAGCTTTATATAGCCAGATACGAGCCAACAGTCTGCGACAGGACAAGGAAATCTGGTCGGTTATCTAGTACGAATGCAATCATCTTTTAAAAAAAATGAATTCCAGGCGATTTTTCGTGTCTTCGAGCCGTCTTCAGACTGAAACGCGATGTTGGCTTTCATATTGCACAAACTTATATCCCAACAACGCTTGCCCTAATGTTCTCGTGGGTACGTTCAATAAACTTCTTATGCTCGGCATGATTTTGAGATCATGAATGGGGCTTCCAGGTCTATTCAATCGGACTAACTTAAAAGATTCTCCGCCCAAAATTTCCTACGCATAGGTGAAAATTTCATTGCCAAAAAAATATGTTTTGCAGGTAGGCGTTTGGCTACCCGAGGAGTTTATGGAGGGTCGAATCGGCGTAGCAGTTACAGTACTTTTGACCTTATCCACCGAATCGGCTGGTACTCGTGAGCATCTACCAAGCGTCTCATATCTTAAGGTGTGTCTGTCTCGGCTTGATCAAGTGGAACCTTTCCCTAACAAACTGATCACTGGATTGATCTCCAATTCCAGATCGTTCGAATCTATTACTAGGACGGGGATCATCTGTTCCTAGTACTCGGAATTCTTGCTGACCAATCGTGATGTTGATGCTCTGAATTTCAGGCAATAGATTTATGGTTTGGTTTCATAACTGGATTCGTTTTCTTTACGCTGCTACAAACGTTATTTGTGATTGGCTTCGATAAACGTGCCAGGCAACTGGTAATTCTTCAGTTCATTATTTCCTATAGAGTTCTTCAGTTCCTTAACTTATGATTCCGTCTTGGAATTCTTGCCGTTTGTGTGTTCGCTAAAGTGATGACTTACCAAATATTCAATGCACTGATTTTGTTCTATAACTTACGAATTGAGCTAGAAACTGATCTGAATGATCTGTATGGCAAATGGAGCAAAAATTGCAATTCTTCCACTTCGCACTGGTGATAAGACCGAATTTCATTATTAGTTTTACGAGATAATCAGTCATGAAACTTGAATTGCTGGACTATAGTATAGTTCTGCTTTGAAATCTGGAAATTTCGCTCAATTACACATTACTAAATAATGTATAGGCCTTCAATCCGACAACAGAATATAATTAAAGTGATGAGGACAAGCTTGAAGACAGAAGAGGGACGAAAATGAATTTTGGTTGAATTCAATTTCTGAGATCTTTGGGGATTTCAGAGGAAGTGCGCCACCAAGAAGAAGTACGAAGCTACACAAGAGGCAAAAGATGCGATGTTGTCGAAGGCGAATCGTTATCATAAGACTGGACGGTAAGCA